GCACATTGAAAAGTTCAACGTATTTTTAAATGGTAATTTGGTTATTGTGACGTCACACAGCACCAAACAAATACATGATCTGAGAATATCTGACTGCAGTAAATACAAACGCCTATCTATCACTGATAGGGACTAAACCTCAGAACAACTGACTGAGACACGACCAGCAAATGCGGAACTACGTAAACGTAAACATGCTACACACGAGACAGCTACCGATGGTAGATTGTAATTATTTTCCAGTCAATCAAAATATTCAGTGAAATTCACTACGTGATCGAGAATCTGATAATCTATCTTGTTACAATTTTCCAGACCGGTGGGTTTCGAATCTCAGACGTTTTTGAGGACCTCTATTTTGCATTGTGTCCGTATGCTTTGGAATAAGTGTAATACATTATTTCATTATTATTTCATTATTATTTCTTTAATTTATTTGAATTGATTTTGTTTTGGCTTGCCCTCCCCTCTGTGAGTTGTCATGATTGAAATACCACTCTCCTTAATCTATCTATCATGTAACTCATAAAAACACCACTAATTTTGTTTACAACACAATCATCGCAATTAATACTTTGAAACAATTTCATAATTATATTAGTGTAACCTTTCGACTTTGCTGTAATATTATGGGGTGTTCCTGTGATGGGGGGTGGGGGTGGAGGGCTTGTAACATGTGAGGAATGAACGAGCGTGACCCAAGCAGCGAATAAACCCAAATTGTTGTACTCGGTCTTTGTTGTCCAGTAGTTCACCACTTTTGGAAAATTAGACGATTAAATTATTTCAAATAATTCATCATGTACCGGTACCGGTACTTTACAAAGAGAAATATAGTTTTGATTCTGTTGTAAAATAAAAAAAGTGGCACAAATTTGTATAAATAGGCCTATTCTAAATTATTAAAAAAAATATAGTTTTAGAATACCAATGGCTTCGTTCATAAATGGGGTTTTTGGTACTACAGTATTTAATATAGTGGTTTATTAAGTTTTTATGTGCGCTGTAAAAAAAGTGTAGAGATGTATGGAAATGTGAAAGGAATTAAATTATAAAGATGAGAGTTCCACTCGGAAACCGGAGTATATGCTGGGAGATGTACATCTCCCTTGTATATGGATACACCTTCGTCGATAAACCAGGGATTGATGATCTAAGTCATCACCCTGTTAAATATATGCCTGCTAAGACTCGGGTGTCATTAAACTTACTGAATCAAATCCAACCATTTCTTAACATGAAACATAAACACATGTCTGCTTAGCATGCCAAACCTCTTATGGTGTCTGTACCACACTTAATACTCACTATAAATATAAAAAAAATATATAAAGACACATTTCACAAATACTAATTAATTACATTGCTCAGTAGGTTTACACACTTAAGATTTTATGCATATCTACCTTAAGTTGATAATATAGTACTCATATTCATATTTTAGATACTTTTATCTGTTAACACACCAATCTCATCCTAGTCTTTAAGTGTTAACAGTAATTGAATATTTTCTTTTGTTTTGTTTTTTAAAATATTTCTTAATTAAATTCAGGTACACTTCTGTTCAAGTTTCAATGACCAAATCGAAAAACAAGAATGCAGATGATGGCATATATAGAGAGGAAGGAAATATCATTTCCTGTCATTTAAGTCAAGGGTATTGCACTTTCGGAAGCCAATCATTCCGGAATGTAGCTTAACAAGGGGCGACAGACACTTGGCCTACACAGTTTAGCATTAAGATCACTGAACAATCTGAGTAACATAGGCCTTACCCCCACTAAAGCCAACAATGAAAATTACACTAGCCTTTGTTCTGGTGGTTTGTTTGTTTGTAGTTAAATCACATGCTAAAGGAAAACGTGTACGGATAACTGGTAAGTATAATAATTTTTTAAACATTTTGCAACCATGATTGAGATCTTAGAATGCCTACTTATTGTTTTACTATATATTTTAGTGACGTTCAAGTGAACATCATATAGGCCTGTCTATATTATTTTTACTATTAGTACAAAATATTCAATAACTATCATATCTTTAACAGAAATTAAAAATAATTTATATCTTTACACTGCAATTTATTGATTTCAATTGATATAGAGAACTACTGTGTACAATGCCGTGATCATAATGCAATGAAAGATAAGTTACTAAGTGTGAAGAGAATAGCAAACACCCTCAGTAAAAGAGTAAGTTATTCATTTATTTTTTATTCGAATAATTATATAATATAATTCTTAATATTTTAACTGTACAGGCAGTGGCGTAATAGCTACGATCTCTCACTAACTAAAGCTAGGGCTCCAGACCTTAAAGATATCGGGATATTTTCATCACTTCGGCCGAGCAGCGCATTTTTAGGAAGCACATTTAAAAAATACCCATCAAAATACTCGCTTTAAAACGTCAAAAGCTTAAGACTGCGGAGATCTCCAGCAGTGCCCCGAAACAGCATTATCTTGGGGACAAGATCTTTTTGTTACGCCAATGTGTACTGGGCCTTACATGTTTTCATGTCCTGTTATGTTCTTATTAGTATTTATGAGCTAACGCAACAAATTTCCTGAAGAGGAATGTGCGAGTACGATCGAAAGTTCCCCAAACCGACTCGGGACTTTCTGTTGTCTATGTAGACGCCCTATCCAACTGGTATATTATATACGGTATATCAGGAACAAAAGGGAACCGATTCACAGATAAACTTTCCAAAACAATATTTAATTATTTAATTATTATGGTCAGTAATTAAGTTAACAAAAATGTCTTTTATCTTTATTATTCTAATTGCAGACCAAAGTTGCTATAAGACCATTGAATCCCCGGTCCCAAAAGTGGACTGTCATTTCGGGGAGACCTGTACTACAATACATTTATATTACATACTTATTCTTTTCAGTATAAGGAAGTCGATCAAAAGATTCGTGACTTGGACGAATGCGACTGTGTATCCCGGAAAGGCATAAGCCTATAACAGCAAAATTACATATCTCCACGCTTATTTGGTTTCCTTAGGACCCAACAAACTAAACACTTTTATTATGCACACTTTAAGCACAAGCTGGAATGTAGTGATGTGTAAAATGTGTAAAAGGGACCACTTAGCAGCTTTATCGACCTAATGGTCCCAAATTTTATGTTATGTCGTTGTTTGTGGTAATGTCAGGGGCGGATCCTTGAGCTTGATAACTATTTTGAAGTCAGGATCTAGAATTGTGTGTTCGAATTGGCTTGGTATTACGAAGATAGATGCTATTTCTAAAATATATGACGCTACCCTTAACCAGCGATTGATGTGTTGGTTTAAATCTGATAAGGCTCAAGCTGGCGCCCAGCCAGTTAGAGGTCGTTTAAAACACATTGTGACTTTACGCCTTCTTATGAACATGCACGTCATAAAAAGTAAAGCTGTTTATCACTTTCGTGGAACTTTTTGAAAGCATGACAATGTAGGCCTACCTATAGAGAAATTAATAAGTTGAAAATCATTAGGCACTGATCTTACTATGTAAGAGATATTGCATCTTGTGCAGTGTAACCAAACTAGTATTGGGGTCTTCGGTAATTTCTTTTACAGAGAGCCACCATCATGCTTCTTACAGCATTTGTTAACCCTCTTATTCGTGGGTTTGTAGAGAAATTTCATTTAGAAACGTTACGCACCGTCTATGTGTATATCATTATGTTTGCTTTCGGACTGGACTACTGGGCATTTGTCACAATAATACTAGGAAAGCCATTATTATCATCATCTCCACTTTATCTTATCATCATTACCATCCACATCGTCATCATGCTTATAATCCTCATTGTCATCATCATCAATTATCATCCTCAGCGTCATCATCACCATCATTATAATCCTCATAGTCATCATTATAATTCTCGTCATGATGTGGATGAAGAGGATGAGGAAGTTGTTGATGAGGAGGATGAAGATGATAATGATAAGAAAGAGAAGGAAGATAACGAGGAAGGAAGATAATTTTAAATTAGTAACCATTAGAATAATTACTTTATTATAAAAGGATAACATAATAATATAATAATGATGATGAAGAAAAGTGTAGTGTAGTAAAATTAAATTTAAATAAGTAAACATTTCTTTTTAGTGGGCTTGATTGTGGTAATCTAAGTTTTGTGTGATGACAACACTCAAAATGTGCTAACAGCACTGATGGGGTGGGGGTGGGGAACATGTCGGACAGGCCTAGATCTGTCGTTTGACGCCATGAGAAGGTCGTCACAGACCACGGCAAATATATTAATTTGCCTATCTAATCAATTTTGATGGCTAATCCCTAATATTTTGATATAAAAGCAAATTTTTTGACCATACTAAGCCATAATCAACAATTCCTGACCGAGAGTCTAGTCGGCCCATTATGCCTGGCCCTCTGTCAGCGAATTTCTGGGGGCCACCATTCAAGACGGTAAAGGGTAAATATTAAATTTAAAGTTCTTTTGAATTTGTACATGTATAGAAAAATTAGAAGTGGATAAAATATAAATATGGTTCCCCTACCTCTATCCCATTAAGTCCGAAAATGGGATATCATCGTGTCTTATAGAGCAAAATTTAACTATTTCGTTTTCCATTGGGCTTATATTTTAGTAGTTCATTAATTATATAATTTATTTCTGTATTTATAACATTGTTTTGAGATTGCATTTGTACTTTAACAACAATAAAATTATTTTTACATTAAAAAAACAAGTTTTTCCTGCCAAAAATTGACGACATCTTTGAATATTTCGTGATAACGTCATCATTAAAATCAATTTTTTTAAAGAGAAATCTTTCCGGACTTTCTCCCCGCTAAAAGTCATTTCCGAGTTTTACAACGAAAACTTCTGCATGAAATGAAGTTAAATTGTTGGGTTAACAGCTCTCTCTTATTGGTTAATAATGAACTGGTTTTACATTATCAGCAATGAAAAATTGATTATAACTTATTATTTTTTTATAACAAGTTAATAGAACGTGTCTAATACAGTGGTTACACAATATATATGATTTTATTCAGTACTATTACATACAAAAAATACAAAGCAAACAAAAACAGAAAAAACAAGGGCAAGATACTAAGGATGACCCAAGAAAGGTAAAAAAGAAACCTTATTTCAGTTGGGGTCAAAGTGAACCTCTTAATAATATAAAATTAACTGGTTTCTAATAACAAAGTAGTTGTATACATACAATACTGAACTTCACAACATATAACAATCTGATTGTATATACGTACGATACTATATAACTTTATAATGTATTCATAATAAAGATTAGATTGCATGTACAAAATTCGAAAATCTAATAGCCATGTTTAATATGTTTATTGATCATTCAATAAAATAATCAATCAGTATGTTTAATTTTAAAGCTGAAAACAACGAAGAAAAACAAAATTTATCGTGATGAACAATAGCACAGTTACTACCATGCCCACTTTTTTCTCGTCAGGGACATCAGCACCCCCCACCCCGTCGGGGACCTTGGACCTTTTTTTGTAGGGGGGGGGGGTTGAATACAACTAGCCAATTTTGTATTTCACTTGCATTGGCGAGCGGGCGGGCATCAGTTTTGCACCCTGTAAGACGATTGATGATCTCAGACCTAGTTACTCAGAATACACTTGATAGAGAACAAGCATTAGTGTGAACATAAATTGGGTGACAATTTTAACATGATCAATGAAGAAAATCGAAATATAGAATCACGATGGCTTTTATTACTTTCATCATCAGAGTTTGATACTGTGGAAAACAATCATACAGTTAGTTGTCTCAGCTTGAGAATTGTGAAATATGTTTAATTGTGACATTAGTGATGTACTTGGTTGCAGCCTGTAATGATGATTTGCATCTCATTTAACGCATGCTAAAAAACAAATTATGATATACAACAAGTTTGTGACAAACCATTTTTAAAAATTTCGATACTGTTTCGTATACTGTACATGCAGAAAAGGTGTGAACAGAAGTTGCTGGAAAGAAATGCCTCAGACCAAGCTCTGAAGGTTCCTTTTAAATACACTAATCAAAGATAATAATGAAACTATATCTTTGATTTGATTAATATGTTGTTTGTTTGTTTGTTTATAAGATATATTGCCTGCCCAAATACAATTATACAACTTCAGAGATTAAAGAAAAATTTTAAGTATATCATCATTAACTTCCAACCTAAAGCAGATGCAAATTAGTTTTGATCTTGCAAATACGGGATGATTTTCTGAAAAGCGCTTGTTATGAACAGTAACAAAAAGATTGAATTCTTTGTCAACTGCAATAGCGTCGCTCGTTGTCTTCATTTCTTCAAAACCAATGCTACTGTGTACAGGTGTTTTTCAATTATATAATCCATTCCAATTCCAAAACCAATCAAAATGTTATTAGTATAGTATATCTACCAAGATCTCTTACAAAATTATAAACCAAAATGGTAATCACTTTGTTCAATTCTCATAATGTTTAACCACATAAATCATAGTCTAATTTAAATTTGTTAGAGGCTACAAAGTTTAAATTTCACCGCACTGGACTTTCCTTCTTGTTCAAAATATCAATAATTACATAACTCGCAATTCGTTGTTAAATTTGATAACAATTTAAGATTAGTCCCTGTCCAATACGTTATACCCGATATACTAACGCCGGACAGCAATAGTATAATATTTGTATTTAAAAATTATGCAGCTGCATTCATATTTTAATATAGACCTAAAACTAAAAACAATAGAGAAATGTATTATTACAAATACCTCTTAGTATATGAATACAAACCAAAATGACAATCGGGGCTATATCCCACGATTATTTTATTTCAGTGTCTAACTACATAAAATATCAGATTTTTGTTTTACATTCCATGCTAAATACCAACAAAATCATAAAAATATTTTTTTAATTAACTTGCCCATTTTGAAGTAACATAAAAATCATTCCTGATGATGACATAATTAATGTCGAAATATTGAATCCCAACACGATGGCGTGTATTTCAATAAAAATTACCAACTTGGACATAGAAATGAGTGTTTTTAAAAAATGTCTACCCGTCAGTTTACAGCGAAAAATGATAGAAACACTTCCAGTCACTGGAAGTGTTTTATTATATTTGTTATAATTTGTTGGTTTAGAAATCAGGGTACACATTTTTTTTTTTAAATTCAATATAATTTCTGTGCACAAGTTAATAATTTGTATGTTATTGCAAAATAAGCAAGTTTATTCTAAACTTTTTTCTACAAATACCTTTCATAAGAATATATGCAAAAATGACTTGACATGATATTTTGATTATAAATTCTTTTGTTTAAATGTCATAATGTTGAACTACATAAAAGATATTCGATTATGGAGCTGCATTCATATTTCTACAGATATACAATTAATATATTAAATAATAAGTACATCTACAAATACCTCTTGATCAACTACATAAAAATTTCTGACTATCATTTAACATTAATTTGTTAACACTGAGTAGGCTACAAAGTTTAACTTTTACAGTACAGGACTTTCACTCTCGTTAAATATATATAACTACATAACTTCCAATTTGTTTTAAAAAATGATTACACACGGAGATTAGTCAATGTCCGTTTATTCCTATCAGCAGATTACTCAGGGAAGTGAAGTTTATTTTGTCAGTGCTACCGCAGCTCTACTATGCCCTTTTAAAGTTCATGATAGTAGCTGTTTCTATGAGTTGTGGCTTTGGAGCAGGATGTCTCCATTCTCGGGGTCCTGCTTGTGCATACTTCTATACTTGTATTCTTTATTTCATTTCAACATTTCATTTCAACATTTTCCAAAAATTCTTCAAGCCTGAAATTTTTTAATAGAAAAAGGATCAAGATTAGTGTCAGATGATAGATTCAAAGCTTAGCCCACTATTCAAATGTTTTGAACAACTTGAAAGCCGTATTTTCGACCTGGAAATAACAAGCGATGAAGCGAAAACTCACCTGGACAGAATCAGTGAGCTGGAACAAAAACTGCAAGTACAGGTAGACGAGCTATGAAATAGAGCAGCTGGGTTCATATTTCTACATAGATATACAACTAAATTCAATTAAACATATATTTATATTGTACATCTACAAATACCTTTCATAAGAATATATGCAAAAATGACTTGACATGATATTTTGATTATAAATTCTTTTGTTTAAATGTCATAATGTTGAACTATACATAAAAGATGTTCGATTATGGAGCTGCATTCATATTTCTACAGATATACAACTAATATATTAAATAATAAGTACATCTACAAATACCTCTTGTTCAACTACATAAAAATTTCTGACTATCATTTTACATTAATTTTTTAACACTGAGTAGGCTACAAAGTTTTAACTTTTACAGTACAGGACTTTCACTCTCGTTAAATATATATAACTACATAACTTGCAATTTGTTTTAAAAAATGATTACACACGGAGATTAGTCAATGTCCGTTTATTCCTATCAGCAGATTACTCAGGGAAGTGAAGTTTATTTTGTCAGTGCTACCGCAGCTCTACTATGCCCTTTTAAAGTTCATGATAGTAGCTGTTTCTATGAGTTGTGGCTTTGGAGCAGGATGTCTCCATTCTCGGGGTCCTGCTTGTGCATACTTCTATACTTGTATTCTTTATTTCATTTCAACATTTCATTTCAACATTTTCCAAAAATTCTTCAAGCCTGAAATTTTTTAATAGAAAAAGGATCAAGATTAGTGTCAGATGATAGATTCAAAGCTTAGCCCACTATTCAAATGTTTTGAACAACTTGAAAGCCGTATTTTCGACCTGGAAATAACAAGCGATGAAGCGAAAACTCACCTGGACAGAATCAGTGAGCTGGAACAAAAACTGCAAGTACAGGTAGACGAGCTAGACAATTTACAACAGTACAGTAAAAGAAACTGATTAGAATTTGTGGAATTGCTGAGTCAGCAAAGTGAAAAAAAACCCCCCGAAATTATCATCAAATTAGATAATGATGAGCTAAACGTCATCTCTCCCTAGATCACATCGATCGCGCACACCGCATCGGGAAAAGACAGGAGAAGCGTTCTAAGCCCAGGCCTATCGTAGTTAGGTTCACGTCTTACCAACATCGGAGAAGGGTAATAATCCAAAGGAAAAAACTGAAAGGCTCGGGGATTTCTATTCAGCAAGATTTAACCAGCTTAAGGAGGGAATTGTTGTCTTTCGCCAGTAAACATCAACAAGTTAAAAACGCCTGGTCCATTAATGGACGGATTTACGCGACAACGACTGTCAAGAGGAAAGAGGTTAAACACATTATTCGATGCTCATCGGACCTTAATAAGATCTAAGAAGAAACATTATAAAGGGAAGTAAACACTTAACTGTTTTTCTAATAGTCAAATTAACTTTAAAGAAAACTGTATTAAAAAAAAACCTAACTCTTAACTGCGACTTTTTTCATCAAAGTTTCATTTCAGCTTTTTAGCTTTTCAATGCTCGCTGATCTCATTGGACTTGTCAATCATGGTCATTGCTTTTTAAACTTTGTTTGCTTCGCATGTTTAAAATATAACCTATTTGTTTAAATACATCCTTTTAATATAGCTTTTTTCTGCATCATGCATTATTATATTATAATCTTTAATCACTTTTATAGTATCATACATTATCTCTAAATATTTCTATCCATCTGAATTTGCAAAACAATGTTCTTTTCCTGATAAACAAAAGAGCTTTTCTTCTATACATTTTAATTCTATAGATCTTAATTAAAATTTTGACTCCATAACATTTAACTTAATTCATTAACTTTACCTTTGACGTAACCGTCATCTCAGAAACTTGGCTAAAGTATGATAGTTCCCTAATTCGAAATCCAAATTATTCTTTTATATCCAAACACAGGCAGCTTAAGTCTGATGGTGGTGGAGCTATGTTTATCCACCACGATATATCTTATAAAGAAAGAAGTGATCTATCTATTGACCAATCATCAGTATGCAACTCTCTATTTATTGAAATTAAACAGAAATCCAGAAAAAGTATTGTCGGTAAAATTTACAGAGCCCCTCCCTGAATTCAACTACTTTCATAGAAAAACTTAAATTAATTCTTGCCTATCTGTCCAAAATCTAGGAGATTTCAACATATACCTTATTAATACATGTATACCTATTGATACATGTCAGTGACCACCTTCCCATTTTCAATATATCTTACTATGCAAGCCCCTCTCCTCGTTCTTTGCCAAAATACAAAGATCAATGATCACAACTTAAATTCTTTTAGACATAAACTCCTCAATACATCCTGGCAAAACTGTCTTCTTATCCCAAGATCCTAACCAATCTTACAACTATTTCGAATTAACCCTTTTAAGTTCATTTACTACAAACATTCCCTATCGAACAGCCTCCTAAATCTAAACAGAAAATAAAGTCTTATAGATGACTGATGGCTTATTAAAATCTACCAAACACAAACATAATTTGTATGCAAAATATCTATATAGTCCCTCTGAGAAAAATAAACTCAAATATAATCTATATCGCAACAATCTAAATCCTATTATTCGAAAACGAAAGCCAACTATTTTGAGAAAACTTTTTCTGCACATAAAAAATGACATCAAAGGAACGTGGAAAATCATTAACTCTTTATTAAACAAAAAAATGAAAGAATTGAACCTATCCATTAACTGTGAAGTCCCCAAGGTTCGTTACTCGGCCCACTTCTATTTTCTTTATACATCAATGATATTTTATGTCCTTCAACATTTTGTATTTTTTTTCTATATGCAGATGACACCAGTCATTGTTTCTAACAATAATATCCAGACACTTGTTGACGTTGTAAACTGACAGCTTAACCAATATATCTAATTATTTCTCAGCTAACAATCTCTCTGTCAACGCCAAAAAGCGTTGTGCTGTTTTTGTTTTTTTTTGCAATTCATATAAATCATCTAATTTGGAAAATAGTCAAATTTTAATAAACGAGCAACTAATCCCAATAGTAGAACACACTAAATTTCTTGGCATTAATATAGATTCCCAGCTATGATCATGGAAAACACACATTAAAGAAATTGAGAATAAAATCTCCAAAAATATGGGTATTACTTTGAGGCTGTCCTTTTTTATTCCTCCAAATATCCTTCACACTATTTATTGTAATCTCATCCTCTCGTATTTTAATTATTGCAATATAGTTTGGTGGCATAGTAACACTTTTTCTTTTAACACTGAAAGTTTTTAAAAAAGCAGAAAAAGGCAATTGATCTTGTATCAAGTGCACCACCACTAGCCCACGCTGATCCTTTGATTAATTCCTTCGACTTATTAAAATAAATTGACATAAATAAATATATCAAAATGCAATTTTATCAGAGATACGCTTTTCTCATAAATATAAACAACAATTAATATTAAATTACTAAATCCTAACTGCACTTTTATTTATCTTTTCATCGATAGTGATCAGTTTCTAGCCTATTGTCCTATCTATGTATGTAACCTGTTTCTCTGTGTTTTCATGTAATTTCTTTTTTATGTTCTATGTTTTGGGCATGCCACCCACAGGCTTTTGTTTTTCAGGTTTTTACCTTTTTCTTTATTTCATTGTATTTTAAATTCCCTTATGTAGTATTATATTATTTAAGAAGAAAATAAATGTATATTTGAATTGAATTGAATCTTCTTACTTTAATTTATTTGTCTAAAATTATTGCTTTTTATTAGTAGTGGTAGTGGTAGTAGAAAGTTCATAAACGGAACAAGTGCAATAATACAAAGGCAGTCAGTGCAAACAATCTAGATTTGAAAGAATCTGTTGTGGATTCAAACAGAATATGGAAGGGTATTCAATTGGCCTGCTAATTGTCGACCGAAATACTTGAAATTATATAATAGATGAGTGACGTAGTGTGGAAATGAGTGGTTTTTCTTGTGTGGATCTTGTGAGTTAAGCGGAAAGCTTTGTATTTGAATGGTAATAATGTTATTCATTTAAGGAATGTACACTACACTTACGTTTTTTTTTCATTACAGCTAACTTTTATTGTCAGTAACTTCTGAACTTTTGATATTTGTTTTCTTCCAAAGATATCTTGCAGCACATACTTTCTCAAACATTTTCAACTCACCGTCTGTCTCGTATGAAGAACCTTTGTAAAAACACAATAATAGGGATTTTTAACTTTTACTGAGTTTTAAAACAAACTTCAATATTGAAAACAAAGTTTTTTCCTGCTTCAGAAAACAATTAGAATAAAACTGTGTCAATTGGGATTGCAAGTAGGGATGTTAGGCGTAAAATAAAACAAGAGTTCTAATTTACAATTAAAAATATAAATGTAAAAATCATTTGTGCATAAGTCTATCTAACTAAACAACTCAAAATTAAAAAAAATATCTATGATATGAAATGATTGAGGTCTCAATCTTGTTTTGACTGACAGAGGTTAACGTCACATTCTTTCTCTTGTTATCAGGCTTCAATCTTTTGGAGTTGATTGTTCTCTAAGTAAACTTTAGTCTTTTTTCCACCCACCCACTCCCACTTGATAATTTGTAGTCTGATGATTATTATTTCATGTCCTAATATTCAGAGCATCCCATCATGATTTTCTGGATTAATAACTTCTTGTTCGCTTCACAATTTTACGTGCATTTTCTGTGCAGTTGATTTAATAATAATAATAAAATATTTATAATGGGCTAATTTCAAATAAATGATCAAAAGTGCAAAAAAAGATTTTAAAAATTGACAATGCGCGGAGCGAGGGGTAGTGGTCTAAGTAGAGTTAAAGATTTCACTTTAACTTAACAAAAATTAATTAATCACGAGACTTTTAACTTCGGTCTTTTGTGAATTTATTTGATGTCTCTATAATAGTCAAAATGTTTTTTGCTTTAAAAACATGTAGGCCTATAATGTATGGTGAAAATTAAATTATTTTTTATAACGTCCGTACATTTTTGATTATGTTTGTAAAGGGCTCAATAACGTATATTTCATGTAGGCCTATGCTGTATTGTAAACGTGACAACACATCTAGTAAGCAGAGAATAAAATAAAAAATCTACCATTTACGGATTGCTGTTTGCCAGCTGACTTTCTGTATAACCATTTGATGACCATATAGATATGTTCAACGACATTAAATGGTGCTGCAAGAGTAGGTCTATCAGCATACTCCATCACTAGTGCACATCTTTCATACTTCCATATCTTGTCTGCTTTGCTTTGAATCTCTCCAAACACAAAACTATAAGAAACATAAATAATTAGATTGTTTTATAGCAAGTAAATATTTAAAATAATTGAGGAAGATGCATAAGAAGAAAAACTAGATAGGACAAATTTCAGTGGTGGATCCAGGAATAGGGGCTCCTGGTAGAGACAGATGGAGCGTTTAAACCACCTCAGCCCCTCAGTTAGTGGATGTTGTACACACTTTTAGGCTATGGCACTTGCAGATGGCCAAGAAGGCACTCTTAGACTAATTTTGAATATATATATATATTTTTTATCTTACTGAAACCCGCCAACGGGACACAGAGCTAACAGTAGTTGACTGAATAAGTGACTGACCTTCCGGCTGTCCATTGGTCCAACCAACCTAACGATAACTGCTTTGCAACTGCAATTGATTGATTATTTGATTGACCACTATTAGCCACCTTTGATTGATTGACTGTCTGATTGATTGAGTGATTGGTTGATTGAATAATTGAATGATTGAACTTAAATTCTTACCTGAATATTGCGATGAGGAGGTTCAATAACAGGATCCTTCCTACCAACTGGTAGATAACTAACAGTATTATGACCAAGGGATGCTTTTCAGGACAAGGATGCTGGTTATTATCTGGATCGTTACTGCAGTCTTCAAGCTTACCTGGAAGAAAGAAAAATGTATAAATAATTTTACACAAACACAATTTAAATGGTATAAAAACCTCAATATTTTTGACGTAATTAAAAGCATGAAGAAAATTTGAAATATAAGTAAAAGAACCTCTATACATCAGGCAGGAAAGGCACTATGAACAGAGACGAAGGAGGACACGAAAAATTACACATACATGTATGTGTCAAAAACCAACCCGAACAACACCGTGGTGACGTCACGACCAACCTGTCATAATATTGGCAGTACTTGAAATACTGGTGGATCACCAGCGGAACGTTGTGTAAGTAAACGTTTCGACTATAATTTTTGAATCATGAAAAAGAAAATTAATAGCAATAAATATAATATAAATATAAAAACTAATAATGAATATTATATTAATAGCAATTAAAATCTGATATACAGTACCTTCAGTGTAAATATCAAGAAACAATACACCCAGTATCTGTAAGTAAGGCATGTAGAAGACACCAGCAATAGCTTCAGCAACGGTCTTTTGTTTGGGAAAAAGAAGAGACTGAGTGGCTACACCATAACCAATCATAAAGACGAGTAAGATACTCAGGAAATATAGAAGCTCCGTGATCTATGAAAGCAATGAATCAACACATTATTATAACTCTTTGTATTAAATAGTAGGTACTACAATTTTAACTCATGAATTTACTTGGGATTAAGGATAAATAATGATTTAATTGTATTTCGTTTAGCTGTAGAGGGTTCTATGCTGAAATGGACAGTACACTGCTGGGAGACCCTTTCTGAAATGTGTGCACAGCATACTTAAAGCCGGTTTTCCACTAGGCGAATTTATTCTCGCGAATCGCAAGCGTCGTTCATACGCATGCGCATTCTCTTTTCTATCGGAGTTTTCGCTTCAGCGAAATTGGTAGTCTGAACTGTTTCTACTTTTTGCGAAGCGAAAAATTTGCGCAACCAATCAGAGCTCAGGAACCGAACCGACGCCTTCGATTCACGCGAATAAATTCGCCTAGTGGGAAACAGGCTTAACGTGCACATGGGACATAATCTACTGTCGCTTGTATTTCAGTCTTCCAGTTGAGTTAAAACACAATCTCTGTGGTTCAGAACACACAGTGGCTACCACCAGTTTACAGACTTAGTTTAGCTGCCCTCACTGCTTTACTACTGGAACATCGATTATGCTAAACCCTAATGTCGTCTCAGTGCTGCACCTAAGCTGTTGAACAACTTGGCATCC